TCTGAACGTACTCATGGGACGCTGGGCCCGGTTCCCAGCTCGTGCCAATTTGAGAGGATATGGTTGTATCTATGGGATGCTGGACCCGGTTTCCAGCAGGTGCTGCTCCCCACCAATAGATGGAGCTCGTGTTTAAAAAAAAAAAAAGAAAAAAAAAAAAGAGTTGGGCAAAGTGGTAAACAACACTAAACATGCCCAAGTTCATAAGATAAATAAGAACTGAAAAGAAATGAAGAAATGGGATTGACGACAGAAACAGACGAGTCGGACAATACCAACGAGGAAACTGAGAGGGTACGGGGGCGCAGCGCTACCGGGAGTGTTGCGCCCCATCGGGTTGGCACTCTCACACAGGCAGTTCTGTGGCGCCCTACAGGTTGGAAACACGTGAGTGCGAAGTGGCGGTTGGGCATGACGTGGGCAGTCTCAAAGTGGCGGCGCCTTCAGGGAGAGTATTGGAAGATATTGGCGATGAGATGGGACGACTGTGAAGGAGGGAGGGGAGGGTGAGGTGGGGAAGGATGGTTAGGTTAGGGCAAACTACAGTGGTCTTGGTTGGGAGAGATCGTCAAGGGAAAAGGCAGGGTTGGGTGGCCACGGCTACAGACAGGGCGAGTTTATACGTTGCTTCGGAGCAGTAGTTGGGTGAGTTGCCATGAAGCTGAAGTGGTTTGTCCTTGTTCTTCTCCTTCTCTGACCTTGGGTTATTCACCTCTCCCTTCCGTTATTTCGTTCGCGGTTATGGATCGCGGTTCACGGTTTCCCCCTATGGACTACAAGTAGGGAATCATCGTAGTGATAATTGAGATCGGACAGCGGGAGGGCAGGAGGATGGAGCGTGATTCGGGGTTGCCTGCCTTTTGAAAGCACTCTGGTGCCATCTTCATCTTTGTGCTTCATCCAACGGTGTTACAGGTTAGCATGTTGGGTAAAGGGGAACTTGCCTTTGAGGGGAGGTGGGTCTCTTTGAGAAGTTCGGCCTTCTTATGGCCTTTGCTCCTTGGTCTGCGTAGTGTTTAGGTGGTTGGTATGACGCGGGCGGAAAGGAGGAGCGCGTTCTTACATGGAGCGGGAGGAGGGTTGAAGGCAATATCGAGGGTGTTGAGCTCAGTTTTTTGTATACATCTCTGTCATCTGCGGCACTCTCGCGGGTTGTTTCAACGAAATCTATCGTGTAATCCAATTTTCAAAGCTGATTCTCTGGGTTCATGATCATGATGGTTATCTTGTGGTTCTGCAAACACTCTCGAAGGAGTGACCGAGATGATAATTCAAATTCGAGCTCCTTTTTCTATTGAAATTTCTATTTCGTAATTTTTAATTCTAGGTTTCTGAAATATGAAAATCATATAGTACTAATAACTTCGATTTTGGTTTTCTTACGGTTCTTATGCATAGATGATTGTTGAATCAGTTTGGCTTTGTTGTAATTGATTTCGCTAAATGTTTCTTAAACTGTGGTTTGGGAAGCTATCTTGAAAATCCTTTTTGGATATCTAGATCTAATTTGTAATTTTGCACTTACTACTTTTTTACATCATATGTCAAAATTTCTTCTAGTTCGTAAGTGATTTTTCCTTTTGAACCTCAATTAGTATGTCTCTTTGGTATACATGTCTAATTTTAATTGTATAGTTGTACTTTTGCAATTGAATTTCTACGGTTTTTGTGTCGAGATATGTTGATTTTCAAAATTTAACCTAGTTCTTTTCGTTAGAGATTCGTCAGAATTTTGAACAAGGGCCCATGGGGTGGTCGAGTGAAGCATCTTGTAGGGTCTTGGGGGATTCGTTTTGAAGTAGGGGGCAAAGGGCATCAAATGATTCTTCGCAAGGACGGAGAGGGGATGAAATAGGGCTTTTTAACGGGTACCGGTTAGGGGGAGTTCTTATCAGATGCGATTGGCGTTGGGTAGTTTAGGCTGCCCAATGGGTACCGGCTGATGAGGGTGATCTTTGGCGCTATTGGCGTTGGGTAGTGTTGTTTTACCCCCTTGAGAACGGAGATTGGAATTCTTGTGGGGGCAAGGAATTTCAAGGTGATGATGGTGTCTGCCCCCTGCTGAGAGGAGGTTCTCTAGACTTTTTATGAGGACGGAGTTTGGAAGGACGAATGAGGTTCTTCCTTTTGATGACGGAGGCAGGATTGTTCTGGCTGTGTGTTTCTGAGGTTGCTTGTTTTCCTAAACTTGTCCTTTTCATTCGTCAGAGTTTCGTCAGAGTCTTAGCAAGGGTCCCATGGGATAATCAAGTGAAGCATCTTGTAGGGTTTTGGGGGATCTGTTTTGAAGTAGGGGGAAGGGGCATGGAATGATTCTTTGCAAGGACGGAGAGGGGGCTGGAATAGGGTTCCTTGACGGGTACCGGCTAGGGGGAGCTCTTATCAGATGCGATTGGCGTTGGATAGTTTAAGCTGTCCGATGGGTACCGGCTGATGAGGGCGAGCTCTGGCGCGATTGGCGTTGAGTAGCGCTAGTTCACCCTTTTGAGGACGGAGACTAGAGTTCTTATGGGGGTGAGGAACTTCAGGTGATGATGGTGCTCACCCCTGCTGAGAAGCGGTCCTCTAGAATTCTTTACGAGGACGGAGTTAGGAAGGACGGAGGAGACTGGGATGGAGGGAGTTGGGGTGGATGCGATTGGCGCCAAGTATTTTGGCGGGTACCGGCCACTTGCTACTAACTCCACCTGGAACAACTTGAGGTTTTTCCTTTCGATGACGGAGGCAGGATCTTTTGGGTTGATTGTTCCAGGGGTTGCCATATTTCCAAATTTTGACCTATCATCAAAGGGGGTCCCTGCTCAGTTAATCCCCTGGTTTCCGAGGCAATCAATGCTGGCAGGGGGAGGTCTTCTTAATTTTTTCTCAAAAAAGAGGTGAGTGGAATAAGTAGATGGTTGGATATCAAGTGTCCTACTAGTGAGGGGGCTAGCTCGTAGGATGGAAATAGGGTACAGCAGCATCGGGGATGGTGGCTCTGCTGCAGTAAGTCTTGCCGGAGTGAGGTAAAGAGGATTGATGGGGGGTTCTGAGTCATTTTCTGAATTTTGCCTTTTTCTGAAGATTGTCGTAGTAATTTTCTAAGTAGCTCAAATTTTTCTTAGCCACAGCCGAGTAATGGCCCCGGTATCTTAAACTTTCAAAATTCTATGTAAAGTTCCATATGGGACGCTGGGCCCGGTTCCCAGCACGTGCTGCTCCCCACGAATAGATTGGAGCCTTGTTCCCAAAAAAAAAAAAAAAA